ATCAATACGAAAGTGCACAGGGGCCAGTGAAGAGAACTAAGAATAGGGCGATGTGGTCACATGGGTGCGTTCTGTTTGCGAGTCTGGCAGCAGCATTTTGGATTAATTGAAGGCGTGAAAGTGAGGTTTTACTGAGTCCGGTATAGAGCGAATAAAAGCATGGATTAAAATTTCAAAGTTATGACGAGATAAAAACGATTTGACTTTGGCAAGACTGTGTATATTTGTGTGTGTGTGTGTGTGTGTGTGTGTGTGTGTGTGTGTGTGTGTGTGTGTGTGTGTGTATATTTGTGTGTGTCTGGTGCACACTGGGGACTTTTGCACGTTTGTTTCTTTTTTTACTGCAAATGGCAAATGAAACGAATCTGAATCTAGCATCAAGGACCTTACTCTCAGTCTGACTCTCACTAGTTTTCACATAAATCACATCTTTAAATCAGATTTTTCAGACAGAGAAAGAAAAACCTCCCTCTCTCAGCCCAAAGCAGTCATTCACAGACTCACTCTTTCTTGCAACGAAAAACTAAATCGATTCGGACTCAGACAGCATGTTGGTCTGATTTGTTCACAACTTCTTCTTTTAAAAAGACTTTTCCGACAACACCCTCAGTCATCAACAGCTAATCAAGTGCTAATTAGTGTAAAAGTGAAAATGTATGGTCTCATTAACCCCGAACAGTTAGGGTACAGTCTATGACAGGGTGAGGGTACAGTCTATGACAGGGTGAGGGTACGGTCTATGACAGGGTGAGGGTACAGTCTATGACAGGGTGAGGGTACAGTCTATGACAGGGTGAGGGTACAGTCTATGACAGGGTGAGGGTACAGTCTATGACAGGGTGAGGGTACAGTCTATGACAGGGTGAGGGTACAGTCTATGACAGGGTGAGGGTACAGTCTATGACAGGGTGAGGGTACAGTCTATGACAGGGTGAGGGTACGGTCTATGACAGGGTGAGGGTACGGTCTATGACAGGGTGAGGGTACAGTCTATGACAGGGTGAGGGTACGGTCTATGACAGGGTGAGGGTACAGTCTATGACAGGGTGAGGGTACGGTCTATGACAGGGTGAGGGTACAGTCTATGACAGGGTGAGGGTACAGTCTATGACAGGGTGAGGGTACAGTCTATGACAGGGTGAGGGTACGGTCTATGACAGGGTGAGGGTACAGTCTATGACAGGGTGAGGGTACGGTCTATGACAGGGTGAGGGTACAGTCTATGACAGGGTGAGGGTACGGTCTATGGCAGGGTGAGGGTACAGTCTATGACAGGGTGAGGGTACAGTCTATGACAGGGTGAGGGTACAGTCTATGACAGGGTGAGGGTACAGTCTATGACAGGGTGAGGGTACGGTCTATGACAGGGTGAGGGTACAGTCTATGACAGGGTGAGGGTACAGTCTATGACAGGGTGAGGGTACAGTCTATGGCAGGGTGAGGGTACAGTCTATGGCAGGGTGAGGGTACGGTCTATGACAGGGTGAGGGTACAGTCTATGACAGGGTGAGGGTACAGTCTATGACAGGGTGAGGGTACAGTCTATGACAGGGTGAGGGTACAGTCTATGGCAGGGTGAGGGTGCAGTCTATGACAGGGTGAGGGTGAGGGTGAGGGTACAGTCTATGACAGGGTGAGGGTGAGGGTACAGTCTATGACAGGGTGAGGGTGAGGGTACAGTCTATGACAGGGTGAGGGTGAGGGTACAGTCTATGACAGGGTGAGGGTACAGTCTATGACAGGGTGAGGGTGAGGGTACAGTCTATGACAGGGTGAGGGTACAGTCTATGACAGGGTGAGGGTACGGTCTATGACAGGGTGAGGGTACAGTCTATGACAGGGTGAGGGTACAGTCTATGACAGGGTGAGGGTACAGTCTATGGCAGGGTGAGGGTACAGTCTATGGCAGGGTGAGGGTACGGTCTATGACAGGGTGAGGGTACAGTCTATGACAGGGTGAGGGTACAGTCTATGACAGGGTGAGGGTACAGTCTATGACAGGGTGAGGGTACAGTCTATGGCAGGGTGAGGGTGCAGTCTATGACAGGGTGAGGGTGAGGGTACAGTCTATGACAGGGTGAGGGTGAGGGTACAGTCTATGGCAGGGTGAGGGTACAGTCTATGACAGGGTGAGGGTACAGTCTATGGCAGGGTGAGGGTACAGTCTATGACAGGGTGAGGGTACAGTCTATGGCAGGGTGAGGGTACAGTCTATGGCAGGGTGAGGGTACGGTCTATGACATGGTGAGGGTACAGTCTATGACAGGGTGAGGGTACAGTCTATGGCAGGGTGAGGGTACGGTCTATGACAGGGTGAGGGTACAGTCTATGGCAGGGTGAGGGTACAGTCTATGACAGGGTGAGGGTACAGTCTATGACAGGGTGAGGGTACAGTCTATGACAGGGTGAGGGTACAGTCTATGACAGGGTGAGGGTACAGTCTATGACAGGGTGAGGGTACGGTCTATGACAGGGTGAGGGTACAGTCTATGACAAGGTG